GTGGAAGCACTGGAGTACCACGTGTCACCATTGAGGAAAGGCGTGAGATCTTGGAACTGAGGCGTGGTCAGACCCTAGAAGTGCGGTGTTCTGCCCAGGGTAGTCCTCGTCCTCAGGTGGTCTGGTCTCACGGGCCAAACCGCGAACGACTTCCCTTCAATGTAAGTAGTGACCTGAAACAGGTTATGGCAGGCAGAAAAAATGCATTTTTTTTTTTTTTTTTTTTTTTTTTTCCCAAAAAAAAAGTTTTTTCTTTCATGACAACAGAGTTCATTTAATGTGATAGGTAAAATATATCCAGTATTGCATAATCTTGAATGTTATTTTGTTGTTCATAAGAAAGTAGTCCAATTCTTGTATTCTGATGATATTTATGTTTTCACAGGTACAGCAACAGAATGGTGTGCTTATCTTCCGTAATGCTGATGTTACCAGTTCTGGTGAATACTACTGTACAGCAACAAATTCTGAGGGAACTAATTATGCTCGCATCATTATCAACGTAATCGAGTCAGGAAGCCAGACATTACCAGAAAGAGTTCCTGTGATCATTGTACAGGTGAAGAAGCTCTTTATAATGGAAAAGAAAATGATCATTTTGTCAAAATTATGAATACTATATTCATAATTTCTTTAAATTTTCACTTACAATATTTTGAATCACTAGGAAGTTGAGTCATTTATACACTGCATTGAATGTCTTAAAATATCAAGAAAAATATAGGAACTGTTATCTCTGAAACATTTGAATATATTCATAAAAAATAGAACCTCTGCAATATGACTTTCCCATATTTCTGTTTTCACCTTTTTTAGTATCAGCATTAACAATTCTTTCTGTCAGGTTTCTGAACAAGAGGTTGAAGTGAATGCTGGTGAAACTGTTCGTGTAAGCTGCAGTTCTCCGAGCCCAGGACAGTTGAGAATCAAATGGAGTCGACTCGGAGGAACTTTGCCTTCAGTGAGTGATTAATTTTTCTTCTTTTACTTCTTTTCATTTAGTTATGAAGATTTATTACTGATTTCAGTATCAGTTAAAGAATTAGAATGCGTAAATAGGATGTGGTGAAAGGATACTGAAACTAAATTACCTGATATTGCTTTTACTGTAATTTCTTCTTTGGGTAAATCATGTACACTTGTCAAGGTTAATTAATTCAGAATTGTGATGCACATGATAGTATCTAATCCTTCACAGCATGCAAAGGATTAAAAATATTAATCAAATCAGTAAATCAGTTCGTACAATAAAGAAGAATATGATAGACGTCAATTGATTGTGCCATTGATATTAGAAAAGAAAGAAAAAGTTTTGTTTAATCTTTATGGATTCTTCTTTCCCTAGCAATCATCTGAAAGGGATGGACTGTTGTCAATCCCAAATGCCCGTGCTGTTGACTCTGGTATTTATGTGTGCCGCATCAGTGACGAGAGGTCCAGCTTCTTTGAAGAATCTAGCACTCGCATCACAATCAGTGAGACTTGGTTAGTGTCTGAGAATGTTTAACGTTATTCTTTTTTATTATCACATGATCTATAAAAATCTAAAATGATTGATCAGAAGTTTGCCATTTTATGTATTTGTAAAATCATATCAATTTGTGTGTATGCAATTATTGCCTTTGAATATATTTGTGCCAGAGTTGGCATGATTCAAATCAAGAGAATTAAAGCATACAGTTTAGCCCCCTCAAAACAACTCTGGAAGACTCCAACAAATATTCAGGCAATTTTTGGGAAACTTCCACTTCCACGTGATAAGCCCTTTAAGAATAGTTTGAATCCAATTATGATATGTCATTTTTTTCTCAAGTATATGATTTAGATTATAGCATAACTTTCAGTATTTTACACCAATTGCATAATGTCTTCATTGTCTGAGCTAAGTAGATTGCAGTATATGCATATGAAGCAGTTTGTTTATTATTCAGTACACTTTTACAGTATGTATTATTCAATGAAAGCAATAAAGTGTATTTCTAGTCAATTGAAATTTGAAGTTGGTCAAGGAATATATTATTGTACCAATTGATGCCAGGTTGCAATTTGCAAATAGCTCAGTCGAAAGGACTGAAGGTGTCAAGTAGCAGTAGACTAATGTTTTTTTTTCTTTCTTTCTTTCTTTTGTTTGCAGTGTATGTTTTTTCATTAAAAAAAAAATGCTTCTAGGAAGGCAAAGACAGTGAAATACCAACTAGTTGCTCAGTAAAACCATTTCATAAATTTATTTGATTAAACCTTGATTTGCTATGCAGAATCACCATAGGTACACAGTGCAATAATTTGTTACTGTAGGTTAAATCACTGATTGTCACTTTTTTTCTTTTAACAGTCAGCGAAACTAATATCTGTTCAAGTGGTTTCTGTTTATCTGGAACCAACTATACTACAGTTTGATATAGGTTACAGATCTTTGATTCATACTGTACTGTCTTGCTCTGTTCAGAAATTTAGGTGAACACATCTACAAAGAATTCTATATCTCTGTATGACTGAGCTCAGTTTGCTGAGGTGACCGAGTACTGCTCTAGTGTTTTGGAGTTTAAAAAAACCCAACTAGTCCAAGCACACATGTAAATGTGGTGACCTATAGAGCCTCCAGGTCAAGGCTATGTGTCATTCAATGTCTGCCACCTTTTTTCGTTATTGGTATAAGTATGATTTTCATATAAAAAGAAATATGAATTTTTTTTTTCTTTTTTCTTTTTCTTTTTTAATTCCTGTTTGTTTTAAATGTACAATTTCTCTCTCAAGGAATATGCCTACAGTCCAGATTCAGCCAGACCGACAAACTGTTAACCAGGGAAGTGAGGCAGAGCTTACATGTATTGTAACTGGAAGTCCTCCACCTGAGATCAAGTGGTCAAAGGTAATTATTATCATTACTGTTATCATAACTGCTATTTTTTTCCTAATTGCAATATTATCATAACATTTTTCTTATTCTTGATGAATTAAAGAATGTCAATGTTGTTTCTCTGTATTATCTTCATTAAAGCTATCATTATTTTTTATATACTTTGGAGTTTGCAATAGTCATATCAGTCTATGAATTTCCTCTTGTTATATATAACTAATTTTACCTCCTAAGATTTTTTTTTTTTTAATCAGTTTGATACAATAGACCTACAGCATGCAAAGAATGTTGAAGAAAGACAAAGGGTTAAGTAACAACACTGACAAGTTAGTTTATTTAATCCTGCAGGTGAATGACGAGTTTGGCGTAGGTGTACAAATTGAAGGGAACGTGTTGAGGATCGTAAATGCTGTTGTGAGTGACCGGGGAATGTACGTGTGCACAGCAGAGAATGCAGGAGGAGTAGCACAAACTGCAGCCATTGTGGAAGTAGAACGTAAGATTTTTTCAATGCTTAATGGTCCGGGAGATAGTTAATCAGATGAGACAAGATACTCCCTTTTTTGTATCTTTATTTATTGTCATATATTCGACTGTCTAGTTTAGCCGGGAGTTCTGTAATCTGTTAAAGTAAAAGCTCATCCCATCACATAACCGTTATATTCTTCCTTTAGGACGTGAACCTCCAGAAGTTCAGATCTACCCACAAGTCAAGCAGACCATTGTGGCAGGGGCAAATGCCCTCTTCCAGTGCCACCTAATTGGAGGCATCCCAACACCCACAGTGCGCTGGGCCCGAACAGATGGTCGACCACTATCACTGAATACAGAAATACTCAACGGCGGTGTCTTAAGGTAGTGCCCCGCCCCCCATTTTTTATAAATATTATATTTTTTTTCTATGCCAATTTTTTGAGAGGACAGCACAGCTAGTGTAACATAAAAGAGTAAATCCTTGCATGAAGAAAAAGATTTGAAATACTTTAATTTACTTTTCCACTCCCCTCCCCCCCCCAGATTCAACCAAGTCCTAGGTGATGAAGAAGGTTCCTACACATGTACAGCTGAGAATGATGCAGGGAAGGTGACAGCTGTAGCTGTGCTGGAAATCCAGTCCTTGCCTGTGATCACTATCAGACCGGGGCCATCACCGTACACATTGCGAGTTGGTGAGAGAATGCGCTTGGAGTGCAGTGCACGAGGAGAACCATCACCTTCCGTAACTTGGCAGAAGCTAGAAGTCAACTTCCCAACCACTGTGTGAGTGTATACCCATTCCACAACTTTTTTACAGACTGCATATAAATTTCCTTGAGTGAAGCATCTATGATGTGCTGTGCACATCATAGATGCTTCACTCAATGATGTCTCATACAAGTTTTCTGTTAGTATGAATGTAACCTTTAAAGAGAATGCTTAATATTTATGATTCTAGTGTGTGGTCTGAAGCCAAAGATAATATTTTTTTCTTTTAGACCCAGCCAATCGACAGCTCCAAATGTTGCCATTTATGAAGTTCCATCTGCATCAAAGTCTGATTCTGGCACTTATCAGTGCTCTGCTAACAATGCCGCAGGTAAAAATGAATGTCGACCTTTAAGTAATGAAAAAGGAGGTTTATGAGTATATATGATTTCTTTATACAGTTCAAATAGTTACCCATATGATTGTGTAGAATAATGCCTAATGTAATGTAATGCCTAATGCATGTGATACCTACTTAAGTGTAAAAAAAGAAGAAAAAACTATAGCAATAACTCCTCTTACTAAAGGTTTAAGTGAGGAGAGGATCCAGATTATTGTTGAGGATGTGCTGCCAGCATTCAAGCCCGGTGGAGATACCACAATCCCAGTCACACCTGAAGCTGCTACCATCTTTGTACCTATTGGAGGAAACTATGAGTTCTCATGCTTAAATCAAGGTAGGGTCTAAGCAGAATGGCTATTGTTTTTTTTTTTTTCTCTCTCTCTCTCTCTTTCTCTCTCTCTCCTCTCTCTCTCTCTCTCTCTCTTTCTCATCTCTCTCTCTCTCTCTCTCTCTCTCTCTCTCTCTCTCTCTCTCTCTCTCTCTCTCTCTCTCTCTCTCTCTCTCTCTCTCTGAAATCTCTAGAACTCTTCCTCTAAAAAGAATAATAATGTTTTT